TCCTTCAGTTAGCCAACAAGCCTTTGTTAAATGCTTACTATATGTCAGCCAATATGCTAAGCCCTGAAGATATAAAGAAGAGCAAAAGCAGTTCCTGCCCTCAAGGAGCTCACACTCTAAAGGAAGAGACAGTATATAAATAACTAAGTATATAGAAGATCTAGCCAGAGTCTTTGGAAGGTAATCTTAGAAAAGACTAGCAACTGGGGGGTGGGAGGGAGTGAGAGAAAGGTCTCCCTGCACAAGCTGGATTTGAGCTGAGTCTTAAAGTCAGGGCAACTAAGTGGTAGGTATGAAGAAAGAGAGCATTCCAGGCGTGGAAGATGACCAGTACAAAGGCAAATGGAGCATCATGTGGGGAACACCGAATAGTTGGATTGTTAGAGTGTGTGGAGGGGAATAAATTATAAGAAGAGTGGAAGGGTAGGAAGGGGCCAGGCTGTGAAGAGATTCAAATGCCAAACACAAGACTTCATAGTTGATCTTGGCTGTAATAGGGAGCTGCTTGAGTTTACTGAGTAGGTAAGTGACATGGTTTGGACCTTTAGGAAAATCTCTCTGCAGGTGAATGGAGGATAGACTGGAGTGAAGAGACTTGAGGTAGACCAGGAAACGCTAGTTCTCAGATAACAGATGTGTATGGAGTCTGCAGCTTGGTCCCTGTTTGAAACTTTCCCACATACAACACCTGCCAGGTAGAGCTTGTGTTCTTTTGGAATGGCCTAAGAGAATCCCAGGGTCTTCTCTGAACCTTGATGAGGCATCAGAGGGGATCAGGAAAGGACTTAGAGGCAGATGAAACAAAACAAAACAAAACAAAACAAAACAAAACAAAAAAAACCCCTGCAGAGTTTCCCAATGGCAGTCCTGTTCAATTCTATGCCACCATGATCATTGTCAGTCTATTGAAGTTAAATTAATTGAGGGACCAGTTCTGGGGATTGTCTATTCAACTGTCTACCAAAGTAGGCATTTTTTATCCACTCTGCTTTTCCTCTGTAGATAGGTATGGTGAACTCTTCAATGACTTTGGATTTCATTTCGGAGGCTATGACTACAGTATTCCAAGGTTTGATGAAATCAGCATAGTGACATTTGCAAACAGGAACATCTAGGGGAATCTCACTGTTACTAGGGAATTTTTTTGAATTGGGCATTGCCTGCAATCGAATCAAAGACCTTTGACAAGTATATTCCATACTATTTTTTGATTCTCTTGATTTTAATAATCACCAAAGTTATCTCTGTTTTTGTATCTTTCATGGAATCTTGTATGATTTTGATACGTGCAAGGGGAATGAGGAGTTTGAAGAGAAATTTTGCAGCACTGGTTTATTTATACTGAATCCAAGAGTTTTCTACAGTAAAAAAGAGAAAAGTCCTTGGCCTCTAAGAATTTATATTCTTCTTGGGGGAAAACAACTTGTATGCTGTTAAGGACATATGAAATATTTTTTAAAAGTAAGTGCCAGGTAATTTGGGGGTGGGAGATACTTGTGCTTTTCAAGAGGAATCTGGAAAGGCTTCATGTAGGAGATGCCCCTGGAGCTGAGCTTCAAAAGGAAACTAGGGATTCCAAGAGATAGCGGTGAGGAGGGAATATTTTCCAAGCAGAGGCGGTAACCTGTGCGGAGATCCAGATTGCTATGCAAGAGAACAAGGAAAAGTAGGCCAGTGAGGTAGAAACAAAGAGTGTTTGAAGGGGAATAATGTGTAATAAATCTAGAAAAGTAGGCTGGCACCAGATTGTAAAAGAATTTAAATGCCAAACAGAAAGGTTTGTGTTGTGGAATATCATTTTTGAAAGGCATGTGAGTCATGGAGTAGTGAGATGGCACAGTAGATAGAGCATCAAGCCTGGAATCAGGAAGACCTGAGTTCAAATCTGGCTTCAGATACTCGCTAGTTGTATGACTAGGTAAGTCATTTAACCATGTGTGCCTTAGTTTCCTCATCTGTCAAATGATCTGGAGAAGGAAATGGCAACCCCCTTCAGTATCTTTGCCAAGAAAAAACCCAAATGGGGTCACAAAGAGTTGGACACAACTGGACAACAAGCCTCATTTTAGAAAGGTGATCTGAGGTGGTGAACCTTAGAGTCAGGAGGACATGACTGAACAACAGCAACAGGCATATGGATCATTCATTATTGATGTAGTCTTAATTGTCTATTTTTGATAACAACAAAGTCCTCTTCTTTTTCATTGATTCCTTGACCCTCTTAAAATTGTGTTGCCTCCAGAATGAACCTCTCCTATGTACATATGGTCTAGCCCAACTCTATTGCCCTCTCAGTTTGGAGGGTGTGGTTAGGAGGAAGGTGGTCTTTCTCATAACAGGCTATCTCTACTCTAGAAGTTTTCTTCTATTTTCTAAAATTTTCTGCGCCTAGAACCTTCCATACTGAAGAATTCCATGACCCATTCTATATTCCTCTAGGGTCTCTGTGACATCAGAAGTGGGAAACCAATGAGATGTGCCTGAGCAGGACCCCACCCATCCCTATAAACCCCATGGTTCTGACCTACTTCAACTGCCCTGGTGATTGGGAATGGGTGTTGCATACGGTATGGCCCCAGTTTTGGAGGCATTGATTCCTCCCTCCAATGAGAGCTGACTTAGTCCTGGAGGTGTCTCCCAGTGTGCTGCCCTGGTAGACTGGAAAAAGACTCTAGTCATCTAGCACACTAATTAGGAAGAGTGACTGGAAAAGAGAGGCTGACCATCTCTGAACTTCCTTCTTCCTCCTACCATGGCCCAGATCATGACATTCAAGGTGAGTTCTCTGGTTTTATCCTTCCCCAGTTCCTCAGCCTTCTCCTCTGTGTACTCCTCCACCCCTTTAAGCCTTAACTTAAGATAACATGTGCCCATAATAAAGGCCTCTTAATTTTAGCAATACTGGCAAATTTAACTACTTTATCTAAACCTCTTGAATCTCAGACAACTGTAACAGTCTGGGGCACCATCTTTATTTTCTTTAGTAACATTCCACTTTCCCATATAGCACATCTGGGACTATGATGTTAGAGTTCCAATATGGCAGCTCCACTGTCTTTGTTGGAGAAAAGAGTATATTACAGAAATCTTTACAGAGATTTTCCATTTTTTGTCTGTTCATTTCCCTCCTTCCAGGTTCATCCTTAAATGTCCTCTGGGTGACATTGCTTAGCTTTTCCTTTGCCTTCCTTTTCCTTTTCCTTTGCCAAGCTTTCTTTAAATGTGTTTTACCTTCCATAACTTCTCACAGGGTGATACTGCCTGTAATCTTCCACTGTCATCATCTGAAGGTTTTACAGATGAGTCTACATTCTAAGCCAGTATGGCCCTTTTATGCTATATCTCTCTGCTTGGCAAGGAGATCAACCGTTAGCTGACTATGACATTTCCTAGGTTCTTTTGCTCTCCTTTTTGGGGTGGTTTATTTATATTGGTTAAATTTCCTTAGAAAATAATGTGCATCTGTGATTATATCTTATTCTTCAGATTTTTTTAAAATTAGGCAGTTATGTGGTGCAGTGAATAGAGCACAGGGCCTGAAGTCAGGAGGACTCCTCATCCTGAGTTCAAATCTAGCCTCAGATACTTACTGGCTGGGGGACCCTGGGCAAATCACTTAACCTCATTTCCATGAGTTTCCTCATCTGTCAAATGAGCTGGAAAAGGAAATGGCAACCACTCCAGTATCTGTGGCAAGAAAACCCCAAAATGGGGTCATGAAGAGTGGGACATGAGTGAACAACAACATAAGTTTAATAAGTCACAAGAATATGGTAAGGCAGCAAAAGAAGTGAATGAAATTTTCCCTTGTATTGAGAGGCATGCTGTTTAGGACCAGGGAAGTGATATTTCCTCTGTACTGCCCATATGTGGAATACTGCCTTCAGCTGAAATGCCGCTTTCTAGAATATAACATTGAATAAATTGAATGTCTAAAGAAGGGTTGACTGGGGTGGCAAAGGGCCTTGATTTCATTCCATATAAATCAATCAATAAACATTTATTAAGTGCTTACTATGTACCAGGAACTGTGCTAAGTGCTAGGAATACAAAAAGAGGCAAAAAACAGTCCCTGCCCTCAAAGAGCTTACAATCTTTTAATAAAGATCACTTGTAGGAACTGAGGATGTTTAACCAGGAGGGAAAAAAACAAAACAAAACAAAACAAAAAAACCTTAGGGATATATAATAGCTGTCTCCAAGTATTTAAGGATTGTCATGTGGAAAAGGGATTAGACCTACTCTGTTTCATTCCAAAAGCCAGAACTAGGAATCATTGGGTAGAACTTACAAAGAATTAAAGGGAAAACTTCCAAACAATTCAAGTCATACAAAAGTATAGCAGGCTGCCTCAAGAGGTAATGAATCCCCCTTTGCTGGAGGTCTGCAAGTAAAGGCTGAGATAACCAATTGAGCTGGTTATGTCTTAGAGGTTTTTGTTGGGTTAGGTCATCTTCTATCTCAAGCCCCCTCTAAATCTATAATCCTTTTATCCTTTCCCCAATTTTTACCACCAATAGCTTGTTTAAATAGTGTAAGGATGAGCTTGTCTTGATTGCATGTCCTATCATCTTTTCATTTTTATTCTTCTCATTTAGCATTGATTGTGAACTTTGCCCAGACAAGTCAGCACTTTACTTGTACACACACAGCTGATGGGTAAATTCCTCCCACTGTAGTAGACAGGCATTTTTCCTGGTCATTAAAATACAATCAGTTTCCTTTTTTTTTTTAAGCAATTCAATAAGCATTTATTAAACCTTAAAACATTCTAGGCATTGGGTACACAAAGAGCAAAATGAAACAATCAGTGTTGTAACATAGCTTTTATTCTACTGGGGTCAAGAGAAAACATACAAACATGAAACAGGAAAAGTTTTTATCTGTAGCAGGGCTAGTAGGTACAATTATTTTCATATAACTGGGCACACAGGAATTGGGATGATATAGTGCCTAAAGTCCATTTGGCCAATAAATATATATTCCTTGATCTCTCTCAATTAAGGACAGATTGTGAGAGAGCAATCATCTGTCAAGACTTTCTTAGAAAGACAGAAGAATGGCACAAGAGGTCTTGAAAATGCAGTGGCAGGGAAAGTATAAATTAGATATCTGTTTTTCACATGATAAAATGATACTTCTCCACGTTCATAGTCAAGGAAAATGCCCACCATTAGGTTTGGCATACTGACCTGGCGGTATTTTGTATGGACCTTGGAATAAAGATTGTGCTGGGCCATGACATAAAGATAGCAGAAATTATGTGACCGTACAGTCCTAAGCACAAAGAAATCTTGAGACTCTTTTGATTCGGGGCAGATGCCAACACACCACATTGTGTTATTTGGCACCTCCACCTCCCAGTAATATCTTCCTGAAATGAAGGATTGAGTACCAAGAACTTGGGCAAAATCTCTCAACCTCCCACTGTTGTTGGGTGCTTCCTCCTGGACTCCTCCATATCTCACACTCTTCAGATCCTCTGATATGATGAGACCTGGATCAGCTGTGTTGCAATCCAGAGTGATGTCCACTTTCAAACTGAAAATATGTTCCATAAGTCCAGGGATGGGCCGGACAGCCATGTGTATGCCGAAGGTTTTTATTTCCTTTTGGAGCACAGATTTATTCCTGTTTAACACTCCTTTCATATCCTGGAGCAAATCCAGATCTGGTTTCTTGTACTCTTCCTCTAACTCTGTGATCCTCTTCCGTATTTGTTGATTCTGATGGGATAATTCACTGATTGTCTTGCTCAGGCCTTCTAAATTGGCCATCCCCAGTTCTTGCAGACATGATAGAAATGCATCCTTCTCCTCATTTAGGAATTGTTTCATTTTCTGGAATTCGGACAAAACACTCTTCTTTTGAGTTTCTATTTCCTTCTCTAACAATGCAAATTTAATCTTCTCATTGCTTATTTGTTGAACAACGTCCTCAGTTTTCCTCCACAAATCAGTCACGGTTCCTCGGAGCCTGTCTCTGAAGTCCTCAGCTGCCTCATCTATGCAATGGTGTCTATGAGCCTCATGCTTCTGGGATTGAGAACAGGACACGCAGACTGGGCGCTGGTCTTCCTCACAGAACAGCTTGTTCACTTTCTGATGCACCTCACACTTGGCACAACCTTCAGAGTACTGCGAACAATCGGGTCTTAGTTTTTTGGCAATGACTGCCAGTTTCCCAAGTCGCACGTTAGCTTTGAAATCCCTCCGTGAGTTGACGCTCCTGCACTCTGGACAGAAGAAAGGGGGAGAGTCTCCCGGCCAGCTCCTGAGGAGGCAACCATGGCAAAAACTGTGGCCACACTCAATGGACACTGGGTTTGTGAAGTACTCCATGCAGATGGAGCAGATGAGCTCTTTCTGGAAGTCTCGAATCCCCTCTGCGTAAGAGACCATGTTGCTTTGTTTCTCCCGGGATCCTTTCTTCCTCCGCCTCAGAGCTCTGCCTTTCGCTCTGCTTGCAGGGCACACAAGGAATCTCAGTCTGCCTAATCCCAGTGCTTTTATACCTCCTTGGAACCCTGAAGCCCCTCCTTCCTTCAAGGTGTGAATTCTCCGGGTTTTCACTTGACCCTAGGAGTTTTTTACACCTTGGTCATTGCTTAGTAATAGAGTTGTTTCAACGATAAAATGAGGAGGTATTGCTAAAATCTTTGCAAAACTTTCAGTGCTTCAAAATTGCTGTTATTATTTTGTTCCCTTGATCTTCTGGCACAGGAATATTCCATTCCATTCAGGTATCACGATTTGTTCATCCATTCCTCAAATAACATGCATATCATATTTTTTTTCTAGTTCTTTGCCACCACAAAAATGTGTTATTATTAATATTTTGTTATATGTGGTATTTTTTTCCTTTGGTTTTGACCTCCTTTGTGTGTGGACCTTGAAGAATTTAGGATATCTGATGGATGTCCTAATTTTAGTGTCCCTTAAAGATCAACTGTGACATTTAAAAAGGTTTGAGAGACATAATTTCTGTGTAATTTAGTTATTTTATTAATAATGCCAACATTTTAATAAAAGGATGGTCATTTATCCATCTTTCTCTTAGACCAAAGACCAATTTCATTTTTTAATGTTGTTACTTGTCGCTTGCCATGTCCAGCACCAGTTGGGACAACTCTTTCAGAAGAAAGTACTTATGGTGTGTGTGTTCCTTTGTTGCTGGATGAGAATTTCACATTTAGGGTATGACCAGTGAAGTTAATAGTTATGGCTGGTAAATAGTTGTCATGCCCCTAAGTGGACAGATGCCATAGTCCTCATTCAAAGAAAGTCAACACTAATTGGTGATGCAAAGAAAATCACAAGATCCAACAAAAGAAGAAGGTGAGGAAAGATTAAAAAAAAATCACAGATGTTACGATTACAAATTAATCAAGAATTAAGAGGCAGAAAAAATAGAAGGAAATAACAAAGAAAATGACCAATACGGAAACTACAATAGAAAAACCTCAAAAAATCCATAGAAGCAATGAATGACAGCCTTACCACAGGAGGCCTTTTATTAGCAAGTATATGCTTTCTGCTGTGCTTCTTGAATCCTACCCGAGGGAGTAGTCTTATTCTGGGGGTGGGGGAGGGGTAAGGGGAGTAAGACAGACAGGTAAGATTTCCTTTAGGTACAACAGTATCGCTTTAGGGAGCTGATTCCCTGTGGGTTTGTGCTTGTGTTTCCCCAATATGGTGTTTATTTAGAGGGTAAGTCTCATGCATTAGATTTTCCTGTGGCTTCCTAAGGTGTTTGGTGCAGAGAACACTATATGACTATATGTTACAGTGTCAGTGACAGTTGTATTTTTGCTAACACCTTGTTAGCCCTTCCCTATTCCCTTGGGTCAACCTGGATGGGAGATTCATTGGACCCTTATTGTCAAAGGTCATAGAACTGTGACAAATGATATTTTCCTATGCAACCCTCAACAACCAATCAATCAACAAACCTTTATTAAGTGCCTCATACGCCAGGCACTGTGCAATGTTCTCTCTGCCTCTTCTTCGGACCTGCCTTTGAGAGCTGAGGACAGAGTTCAGGCTTCAATATTATAGGCTGTCAGAGTACCTAGTCCTACAAAATGAGGTATCATCTCTTAACTTACTGGGGAACAGAACGCTTCACTCCTCCTTGTCTACCTTGGCCCCATTTTCATAATTCCACAAGATTGCAGAATATGATTTAGAATTGTAAGGAATCTATAAGTTAATTAATTAGCCTTCATTTTAGAGTGGAGGAAACTGAGTCCCTGAGAAATCTCTAGGGCACAGAGGTAGTAAGTAGCAGAATTGGGACAATGGCAGTAAGATCAGCCTTAAGATTTATTAAGTACTTGAAACATGAAAAGGGATGGACAGGCCAATGAGAGCTCCGTCCTCAGAGCACGCTCAGGCTTGTTGTTTTCCTGGTGGATTATGAAAAGAATGCAAAGATATTCCCTGCCTGGTATCTGTCCAACATGTGGAACTTTGGAAATCTGTTTCCATCCATGCATGACTGAGGGACTGGCATTGCACAGTGATGAAGGGTCTTATAATTGGCTGCAGAATCGTAGAGCCTGTCTACAAAAGGGACCACCTGCTGATCTCTCCAGGCTCTTTTCCTTCCGGGTGATGAGTGACACAAAGACGGCTGTGAGCTGCTGGGTGGGGGAGGGGCCGAAGCAAACCCAATCCCCTCCACCCCCCACCCATCTGCCATGCGTCCAAAGCACATGGTGCCTCTTTTTCCATTGTGTTTGCTTTTTTTTTTCCCCCTTACTGTTAAGCGAATGAATATTCTGAGATGGAGGGCCTAGATGACCATGAGAAGGCTGGAGGTCTTATCCAAAGTCCCGCTGGCGACAGTTAGTGTCTTCCCCTCACCAGGCACCTGAGCAGATGGGGGAGAGGGGCTAACAGAGTGTTACAGGCTGATGTGGAGGAAGCACCTGCAGAGTGATGTGAAAAGACATTCACTGGAGGATGACAGTAACTTCTGGGACTGGGACTCCTTGTGATGGAGAGAAATGCTGGGCACTGATCTTCAGAGCCCAGTAGAGAGCTACACTTGAGGGAAACCTCCTAAAGATTATACAAAGGGAGAAAAGAACTTCACGGAACCAGGGACTGAGGCATCACTTTGCAATGAGTGTTTCCCACCCATGTGCCTGTGTGTGTGTGCAACGGGAGATTTTGCCCTGGTTTGGGGGGAATGTTTTGTGCCAACTATTTGTAACATACCTGCTTAGGCAATTACTTTCCTAAAAGCTAATGGAGCCAACTGGTTGATTGATAATGGGGAGCACACCCATTATCTCAGGAGCTACCATGAAAGAAGCTCCAACCCCTCAGGGTTATCCCCAGAATCCTAAAGGGAGTAGAAGTCAGTTGGCTTTCATGGGATCTGGTCTGCCAATGCTGCAAGTGCTTGACTATGTGAGTTTGGGGTGTCCTGAGCTTCCACCACTGATGGGAATTCTGATAGGACCTTGGGAAATTCTGCACTCCCAGGACTGCTTGAGTGCTCCCATCACAGAATATTTATTCACCTTATGTCAGGAAAGATGAAATACAAAAGAAACCGAGGCACATGGTGGATGGGTGGAGAATGCAACTTGCTGCCCCTGCCCCTTCTCCCGCTCCCCGGAGTTCTTGTGTCACTCACAGCCATAAAGGGAAAGAGAAACTGAGAAATGAGCCGGTCATTTCTTTTGTGTGTCAACTCAGTTCTGGCTACGTACGTCCTGAACCATTTTTTTTTCCTGGTTCTGAAGCCTGCAACATGGTGGATAAATCTCTTATCTTTATTATTATTATTATTTAAAGATGTGAACTGTGTACAAAAGTCTTTATTGAGACTTTGCCCTGCCTTCCCTATTCCCAGCCTTTGCTTTGAATATCTTTTGAGAATCTTCCCTTGAGCCCTGTAAAGTACTGACCTTTAATATATTTATTTGGTGGAAACCAGAAGTTCTTTGTACCAGGAAGATACAGTGTCCGTCTGTAGGGAAGGCTTCCAGGAAAAACACAAGGCCACCCATCTTGTGGGCCAGGGCAGAGGGGAGCCTGGGAAGTAAGGTGACAGGATGACAAGGATAAGAATAGCATGGCACTGACCTGAGAAGGGATGGATGAATGGATTGACGTCACACTGGCAGAGGGAGTTCCCACATCAGTGAGACTATGAGATTAAAGATATACAAAGAAAAAAATTAAATACCATCCCTTACCCTCAGTGGGAATACAACATATAAATATATAAATATTTAAATGCAAGACTACAGAGGCAATATGGCACTGTGTCTGGAGTAATGGCATTGGAGCCGAAAAGACCTAGGCACTAATCCTGCCTCAGAACACTTAACTAGCTGTGTGACTATAGTAAGTCACATCATGTTTCCTAGCCTCAGTTTCATCATCTGTAAAATGGAGATAATACTTATTATACCTCCCTCTCAGGACTGTAGTCAGGCTCATGTGAGATCAAGCAGGTGCAAGTGCTTTGCCATTTTAAAAGCAATATAGAATATCAGTTATATTTACTAAGATATTTTGAAGAGAGAGAGTACTAACAAATGGGAGGGTCAGGAAAGACAATACAAAAGTCACAATCAGCCTTGAAAGAAACTAAGGATTGCTGATAGGCAGAGCTAAGGAAGGAGAACAATCTAGGAGAACAGCTAGGCAATCTAAGCAAACCCCAGGGTCCACTGGGGTTTAACTGGAAGCTTAGCTTGGGCAATGGCATCCACCTAAAGGCCAAGACTTGACTCACCGAAGGCAAGCAAAGGAGGGGCCAAGATGCTCCTTATGTACCTAGTCCTTGAGGGAAGGAAAGCCCATGTGCATTAAAGTCCAGCTGGTACCTCAGACTCAAAGTGTCCAAAGCTTTGCTTATCATCATTTCCTCCCAGATCTGCTCCTCTCAATTTCTTCATTTCTGTTGATGAGGCCGCCATGTTCCTAATTGCTCAGGCTTAAGACCTCGACTCATCTTGCTCCCCCCCCCCCCCCCCGTCTCCTTCATCTTCCCAAATCCAATCAGTTGCCAAGTCCTACAGATTCTAGGCATATGTCCCCTCTTTTCTACCCTCCCCACCAAAAGTATTCTTGTTTCTCTTCGTAGTCTATCCTTCACACTCTCCTGAGTTGTTTCTCTATAATTGAGCATATTGTTTTCTCTGTTCAGGCACCTCAGTAGCTCTTTATTTCCTATGGAATATATTATAAACTCTTGACTCCTGGGCTTCAAAGACCTCTATAATCTAGTTTCATTCATTTATTCATTATTCATTCAACAAGCATTTATTTGGCAGGCAATGCACCAGGTCCTATGGATAAAAAATAATTAAAAAAGAAGTCCTTGCCTTCAGAAGGCTTACAGTTTACTGAGGGAAAAGAACATGTGTTTATATAAG